GTCTCTGAGAAGCCAGGCTCAAACACAAGTCGATTGCATTAACCTACTGTCAGATCAAAGCTGAAAATGCTCTTGCATTTTTCAATAGGCACCAGTTTGTAACTAATCTTGGCTCATTTTTTTTTTTAAAAAAAAAAACAAACCTTTACACAATCAGTTGCACTTTGAAAAAAAACAAAAATGATGAAACACCACCTTTGACATGGTTTTGTTCATTGTATTGCATGATGTGTGTTTAGCTGTATCTACACAAGGCACTATAGAAGAGTCCAGCGAGGCGAGGATTGGAGCAGGTTGGAGTCATTTAATGCCCTGGATTACAGCTCCCCACAGCATCGCCACGCCTGACTTGCCTCGCTGCTGAGACCACACCTGTCCCAAACCCATATCAAAGGTCACTACAGCTCCTCTATGCACAGCCCAGGCTATAATACAGCTATTTACAGTGTGTAACGCAACATGGTGCAAGTCTGTCCACGACAAAGCACTGCACCACGCTGGAGGGAGCGAGCCCTCTGTCGCAAGAGTGCCGAGCTGTGCGGCTGAGCAGTCCCCGCCACTCGGTCCCTGCACTGCTGGCTGCTCCGGCCGGAATGCCCCAGGACATCCATGTGGTGCCTTGCCAGTACCTCTAGCAGTAGACACCCCACTCAAGTGGCCTCTCACTTCCCAGGCCCTGGTCTTAAAATGAGGTGGAAACCTTCTTGACTGAAGTGGTTCAAGGGTGTTGAGAACAAGCTCAGATCCCTGCAGTCCTGCGGGAGCAAAGCCAGCAGCTGTGCTCGGGCAGGTGGGTCACAGTGCTGTGCTTGAAGGAGAGCAAAAAGGACTCGAGTAATGGCTGGGTGGTTTCATACATGAGCACCACTTAGGGTAACTGGGAAGGGGCAGGGGGGAGGGGGGAGGAAATACCAAACCCCACAGGTGCTTTCACAACCAAGCTGAAGCCAGAGGCAGTCACCTCTTGCCAGCTGTGCCACAGCCTCAGCCCCTCACCCTCTCTGCGATCCGTGAAGTTGACAACAGCCCACCTCTTCCCCCACATTATTCTACTTACTGAAAACCAGCCGTCACCACTGCTCAATGCCAGGCACTAGTTCTGTCAGCACTCTGCTGCTGCCTGACTTGGGGAAGTGAAAAAGGCTTGGGCAGCTGGAGGAAAGGGAGTAGAAGCACTCTGCTGAGCAGCCCCTCACCCTCTCTGCGATCCGTGAAGTTGACAACAGCCCACCTCTTCCCCCACATTATTCTACTTACTGAAAACCAGCCGTCACCACTGCTCAATGCCAGGCACTAGTTCTGTCAGCACTCTGCTGCTGCCTGACTTGGGGAAGTGAAAAAGGCTTGGGCAGCTGGAGGAAAGGGAGTAGAAGCACTCTGCTGAGTTTTCCTAAACTAACTGCTCACTCTCGAACCCTGCACCGCCTCTGACAGAGGCGCAGCTTTGAAAGCAGCAGCAAGCCGCACTGAACTTGGTTGCCCCCTCAGATTCTAGGG